ATGCCAGTCATTCAGTACGTGTATAAAATATTCATTTATCGATATACAGAGTGCCCCGCGAGAATTATTGTGATATTTCGCGAAATAATGAAGACATCGAAATCGTGGTTTTTTATATATCATGAAATTAATGAAAATTAAATTTTGAAACGTCAATATTTTCAGAAAAATAAACTCTACAAAATGGCTATAGTCAATTTTTTTGGAAATAATTAAATTAGAAAAAAAAACATTTTTTTAATTTTTTACCAAAACATTTAAATTAAATTAAAAAATGAAATAATTGTAGTTCTCATCCCAGTGAGTCTTATAAAAAACCAAAATTTTGATATTTCCATTATTTAAATGAGATATACAATGGGTATAAATCCTCACGGGTCACTCTGTATAATATAAAACCGTCATAATAATCATAAATATCTGTAGTARAATAAACATATTATTATTTAGCCATTGTTTAGTGATTATTACATGTTTTACATGTTTGACGAAAATATTCAGTAAAGTTACTGGGTAGTAAATAAATAAAAACATTTTCGATTTCACATAATAGTTTCGGTAAACTTAAGTTAACAATTAAATAATTAATGAAAATAACTGTTAATTGAATTGGAAAAAATATTTGAMTAGTATTAACTGAGTAGTTATACAAAATCAATAATAGGTATTTATCCAGAAAAAATTCATATCGATTATGTATTTAATCTTAATATATTTTATACGAATTATCTACTATTTTACAAKAATATGTTCTTGCTATATTCTGTATTAAATCTAAATGTTCATAAACAAAAAATTACTTCATAGTGATACCTAACATACTCTAATCATTATTTCTATAATAAAAACTTTGTATGCCATTTATTAGACTAAAAACTTTTTCTATCAAGAAGGTTTTTATAAAGCCTCAGGTTAAAATTAATATAAAAATGTTTCAGGGTTGAAATGTTAATGAAAATTATCAAGTATAAGATGATAAAKACGATGTAGCTTTATTAAATATAAAAACACAACATTTATATTTTAAAACACGGAGCGTTGTATATGCAATTTTAACACAAGACATATTAATATTTTGTTATAAGCATTAATTAATTGAAAGCAACATTTATACTCAAATTATTTATTAGTGATTTAAATTACTGAAATAGATGCTAATAGCTAATGAATTAACTGTTGTATATGATTGGTAATAATATTTTAATAGATCTAAAAGCTGATAATAATATATTATACATACCTATTATATTGTTATACAATATTTTTTATGCTGGAGATAAATACAGTATAATTATAAAAATGTTTGTTATCAGTGTTCGTCGTTCAATGTAACCATATAAAAATAATTTGAGACTGATAATATTGTTTTGCACTATGATATAATGCAGTCACAACAGCGACACTTGTTGCTGGTCTTTTCCACAAAAATTTCACATGTTTGTCAATTTTGATATGGAAATATTTCTGAACGGACTTCAAATTATTCTAGATAACATAAGGAAAGGTTAATTTAAATTTTAAAAAAAATTTGCTTAAATGTTGAATTTAACTAGTTTATTTAGGGAAAACAATTTTTAAAGTGTTAAATATGTTTCTATAATATTATAATATAGAAGGAGAATATTATATTAACCGTTCAAACAGAGTTTTAATTTTAAACATTATTTTTAATGTTCTTTAACATATTTTTAGTTAGAAGTAGCCTGTAATGTTCTTATATTATATATATTTATTATACAACCGTTACATTTATTACATTATGACACAATACAATACATTATATCATATTATCACAATAATATAATTAGGTACGCAGGTAAATTTTATTCTTAGGTACTCGATTTATGGTGTTTAATAATTTAAAAGTTACAAACGTATATGCATTTATGATTATGACATTTATTCCTATGCAGCAGATCAATTTTTATCATTGAGATACATCGACATACTAAAACCGTGTAGTTAATTATTCCATTGTTACAATTTATTCTTTTAGATGACGCATATATTTTGGGGCGGTTCCAATTTCCTCCACAAACAAGATACCGTTTTCCTCCACTGACCATTTTCCCCCACAAAAAAAAGATTAGTTTCCATTTTCCTCCACATTATTTTCGACTAAATTTATGTCTATTTTCCTCCAATATTTTAGCAAATATTTTTGTTGTAGTATTACGTTCCGTTTTATAAAGATAGAGTAAAACTAGGATCACATTTTGCGGTTACTGGTTAATGATTATACGTACACTCTGGTATCGGCTATCTATATCAGCTATCGATTAAGCCTAATAAAGATACGTCATACGTACATACTCCATATGGGCATATACGTATACACTTATATATTGTTATATTGTGTATCAGTTGTCACTACTTCTTATTATGATTGCACACATTGAGTGAACGGGCCGGGAGCATAAGATAATATTACGCGTGCCCGAATGCCAATGCTTTAGGGCACCACTAACACCTAGGGCGGAGAAATAATATGGAGATAGCTGGGTGTGTAGTGGTGTAGTAGTTCAAACAGCAGTGGTCGKGGTYGCCGGRCAAATACTGTAGAACTACGTAATGCGTGTTGTGCGAAAGGTATGTTTTTGTGTACGAGTGTGTGTATGTATGTAGATGTGTGTATAATAAGACAAATAATAGTAAAATGGTAACAAGGTTTTTGGTAACAGTTGCTGTTGCTG